AAATAGTTCCGTGCCATTGAAAGGATTCAGAAGCGCGCTCTTAAAATAATTTTGTAACCTGATCGTAGATATGTTGAGGGGTGTGAGATCGCTGGTCTTCCACCGCTGTCGACGAGGAGGGAGCATTTGTTGTTGTCCTTTGGTAAGAAACTTCTTGCCTCTGATTTATTTCGTAACATGCTCCCTCCTTGTCGCCAACTTGGCATAGACCTGCGATCCCGCCCTTTACTTAAAATTCCTTTCGGCAAATCCGAGCGATTTAAAAGGTCACCTGTTGTTACAATAACCAAAATTTTAAATTATATGTTGAAAGTGGTTATTTCTCCTTCTGTTCAGTAGGCCTCTGTATCTTTTTTTTTTTAGACTACGGTTTCAGCCTTTAGTCATTTGAATTTTTGAATAAAATATATCTGAATATATGTTGACATAATAGAGACATAAAATTTATTCAAGACGAATATTTCGGACACGCCTGTATAAGACGAATATTTAATTTGAAAGTTACATATTTAATGTCCTGGAAAAATAATTAATAGATAAAAACATATTATGTGTGTTGTGTCCTTAAAGTGGTCTTTTATTAGGGAGACCTGTAATAACGAAGACCAAAAGCTGCCAAAGACCAGTGTCGCGTGTTCACGGCATTTAATATTAAGCCTTAAAAATCGGAGGTGCGCATTTGTTGTCTTCGTGGTTTAAAGAAAAGAAAAAAAATGGAATCGAAGGGGAAAGACAGAGAAAAGGGAATGATAAGGGGGAAAATATTGCCTGACCATTGACTTTTTTCTTTTATTTTTTCCCAGGACCACAATGAAAAACATTTATGAAAATGATTGTGTCATCCTGGTTAAAGATGTTAATGTAGGCTTATCTGGCCAAATTAGGCTAACCCAAATACGAATCATGGAAAAATAGACCAACCAAATGGCCCATAAAATAAAAAAATAAAAAATCTGATACTGTTTAAAGTTTATAATTATATTTCTGTTGGTTGATCCACAGATCCTAAATGATCAACTCATAGGGGGCCTATTTGTGTAGGGGATGACCTCTAACCCCACACCAGAAATCCCCACTGTCCATGAAAAAGATGAAACTGAGGTATAACAGTACTTTCGGCTCAAGTGATATTTAAAATGAAAAAAAACAATGACAGAAAATGTTTGAAGTGTATGATGTGGATCGACCCACTGAGATATTCGTGGGGAAATAACCTCTACCTCACCCTCACCCCCCCCCCCTTCACCCCTAGAAACCACTGTCCATGAAAAATACTGCAGGCCTACAGTATTCCCAAAAGGACCTTTTTATGACACTCCCTTGAATTGGAATAGATAATTACAGTGCGTAGTTTTCATCGGTTGCATAGACCTACTCATGTGGCGTAACGCCTATGCGCTCTCATGCGGCGGTCCGCAGGGCCCCCGAATTCTAGGGGCCCCGAAGTGGCCCTACCCATAGGTTCCTCGATCTAGCACCCTGACCAAATTGGACTTTGTTGATAAATAACACCAGAATATGTCTCTGAAATCGAATGTAGGGCATATATCATATTATAATGATTAAAGAGAAAGGGCCCCGTCGGCCCGCGACCCCACCAAATTTGGCACAAAAAAAAAATTAAAATGGAAATAAAAAAGAAAATTAGGCTATATTCACAATTTGAAGTCCGTGAGTGCCATTTCCGGCCATCTAGACGTGCCATAGTAATACATTTTCTTATCTCTGCCCCACAAGGGCAACGGCATAATGTGTGTCTGAAATCGACTGTAGGACATATCATATTATATCCAGTGGCAGAATAAAGCGTGTGGGTGGGGGGGGGGGAAGCTGCCGACCCGGGGCCCCACTAAATTTGTCAAAATATTTTTTAACTGGAGATAAAAAGAAAGTTCACAATTTTGTCTGTGAAGTGCCATTTCCGGCCATCTAAAGGTGCCATATTCATAAATTTTCTTACCTCAGCCCCAACCATGGTGGGTCTGATGTGGTATAGACTCTCCAACTGTTAAAGTCCCTCCATGGCCTCAATTTTCTGGATCTATATTATATCATTTATTCGTCGTTAAAAAAATTTAGAATAACAATGCACACCTAAAATCCTACGATGGAATTTGTGACCGGGACCCAAAAAGGGCCCCTAGTTTCAGAAATACACAGGGCCCCCGGCCCCATCGTTACGCCCCTGGACCTACTTCATAATATGTTTTACGATTCATTAACCGCGCGATTTTTATAAACATCGACGTGGCCTACTTTGTTTGACAGGGCACTAAGTGTGTAGGAATATAAATGTCGTATCGGATAATATTCAAGGTGGGTATAATATTATGTAGAACTAGGCTATGCCAACGTAATGAAATTATTATGTTTCACATTCACTTAAAGTAGTCGGAGTCGCGCGTAGTGACATGTACTGTATACGCACTGCAACACGTGCCAATCACAAGCCTGGAGAATTCCGGGTGTTTACGTTTTTATATGCATTATGATGCATTAGGGCCTTTAGGGCTCATAAACACTGTCAACACGCAGAACTGACACTTCAATTACATATTATAACATTCAGCGGCGTAGCTAGATGCGAAAGGCCCAGTGCAAGATCAAATGTCGGGCCGCCCTTTGGTGTGAAAGGGAAATTCCCTGAAGTTCTCAGAAATAGAGGGGTCAGGGAGAGATTTTCACGGGTGGAAGGTGAAGACCACCTCAGTCCCACCATGGTTGGGGCTGAGCTGAGAAAATTGATGATTATAGCACCAGAAATGTGGCACTCTCAGATTTTAATATAATTTCATTTTTCCCCATTTCTTATATAATTTTTGAAATTTGGTGCTGGTGTACCCTTGAATACACCGTTGATTTAAAATCAACACAGTCATCAATAGTTATTCTTCTAAAAACGAATATCATTGAGGGGCCCGGGCCGTTTTATTTTTTAAAAATATTTAGTAAGTTGGAAATTACTTTAAATTATTATTTTTAGGTCTATCCCTGGGCTCCTGTGCTTTGCACAGTCTGCACTAGGTATGCCACTGATAACATTTGCATATGAAGCTAGACCCTAAATTAGGTCAGTTAACATAATATATACATCAAATTTTTACGTATGCAATGAACACTTTCTATATTTTTAAACCTTTAAAATTCCGAATTTAATAGTAATAATAATAATAATACATGTATCATATATTTTACTTTATTGTATTAATTCGGGTTTAAAATATAAATCTTTATCACCGTGTTGTCTATTTTTCTTGATGTTGATGTTTAATGATAATGCTGCGAACCGAAGCCTAAACTAAGTCTTCGCGTCATTTCCGAGTTTTCTTCATACGTCTGCAGTTTTAAGTTCTATCCACCTTTCGTCGCCCCTCTGTTGTCATAATGAGAAGCCAATGCCATAAAAACGGGGAGCAAGCATTTTTAGTGGAATTATTCGTAAATGCGTCGTCATAGTCTGCGAAGCGCGTCACCTCGATTCGAAGCCAAGACACCGCTGTGAGGAATTCTAAATTCACGGCGTGATAAGAGACGTTCATTCACCCGAAATTTAAGGCACATATATAATGTAATTGTTACATAATGCATATTCATTCGGGGAAAAAAGTAAAATTTAAGGAATTGCCGTAGACAAACATGCATGTTTTACGTTTGTCTAGAACATTATTATTTATATTCCTGCGTATAGTATATATCACCTTGATTAATATAGCCGGCCATGTTAACGCGCTGTCGCGGTTAATTAAGTCAAGATCATATTGATTTTCATCATGCATGGGAGCACTTAAATTGAGCCGTGGATGTATTCTTGTCCAACTATGAGGCCACAGAGCTGTAAGCTCGCTATGAACCTGTCGAGGGGCGACGCGATTAAACTCCTCCCGATCGCCTTGCAACCCGAACAGTGCCCCGTAGCGTAAATTTAGCACGAAACCCAGCTAATCTGATAATACCGGTATTCAAAGGTCATAGCGGTATTAACTGAGCGACGTTCATTGGCTGGCGGACCGTGGGCTGATTCGGCCCAGCTGTTATCTAATACCGACATTAACCGGCACAAAAGCCGCTTACGCTACTTCTAAATCCATACACTTAATCCCCAATATTTTGAGCAGTTTCAGCGCAGACAAAACCATCGTTATCAAAGCTATTTTAGACAGTCGCATTCGTGTTAAGGTAAAGACTGTCAGATACTCTGCAAAGATGGACATACGCGCACTAAGGCCGCAGTTTAACAAGAAACGCAAACCGAACTGGTCTGAGAATGAAATTAGTTTCTTGCTTCGAGAATTCGAAAAACACAAGGTGATATTGACGTCTAAACTGTGCGGTGAGACAACGTCGCAACAAAAACGTCAGTTATGGAAGCTGATATGCGACGGTTTGAATGCAAGAAACCCTTACGTGAAACGCACAACTGAGGAAGTGAGACGCAAGTGGAAAAACCTATTGTCTGCTTCGAAGCGAGAACTTCTCGAGTCGAAAAGACCTTACGTAGAAGGGGGTCCACCGCCCAGACCTATCTCAAGTATAAGCAGACGTGTTATAAAACTGCGGGGTAGACCTACTGTTCGTAGTGCACAACAGTCTTCGTACATACACCCTGCAGCGGCAGAAGTAAATGGGGAAAGTCAGGCGAACTCCAACTATAACCACGGACTTCCTACGATGGTGCATGTTTTGAACCGTTCATCCAACAACCATATCGACGAACCAGAGGAGCTAGACGAATTGGACGATGATCTTGATGATGTGGACTGTGATGAATTTGACGATGGATATGAAAATGAGGAGCGCCTGCACAATGGGAACAACACGAATTCGGCGCGATATTCACCGAGAAAAGAAAATTTGCCCACCACAATTACAGAGACAAAATTCACACCGAATAATAAAGAGCACGAGATTCACATGATCGAACGACAGGATGCAGAACCGGCAGATAATCTACAGATTCATGAAATTTCAAATCACACTGAGGTATTTGCATCGGAGGTTTCTCCCCGTATTCATAATGACAACGAGCATACGCGCGCAGTTCAAAACGGAGGCGGAAGCATAGATCTTAGCAAGTCAAACGATGTATCGTCCAGATCCAGCTCTCCGTACTCAGACATTGGTCCCCATAACGCACCCGAGAGTGCTATGTTAAACTTTCGTCACACAATGCCTGATGGGTACCCGATTTTCACAACTGGAGGTTTAATTCACCCTGCTTACGCGATGTACCATCCCGAGCGAATCCAAGCGGAAGAGGGATTACCTCACCATCCACGATCGACGGAAACGGTACACGAAAATGGACAAACGGTAGCGGAAATCCAAACTGAAATGCTAAGTATCCAGAGAGATAAACTCCGGTTGGAAAAAGAGGTGCTTGAACTTTATAAAGAACGTATGAAAATGGAAGTAGAATGGTGGAGAAAACGTTTGCAGCGATCAAATCTTGAAACAAATCAGTTTAAAACAAACAGCCACACATCTTTGAATTCTGCCGCAAATCGTTGAAATTTCTAGTCTCATTTGCTCCAGCCTCAATCGCACTACACTCAATTTCGAATGTTGAATGTGATTAACTTGTCACCTAACGATTTGAAGTCTTTGAAATGTTTGTGATAGCCTAATCGCAAATTTATCAAATCCGTCGATGCATCATTAACACGAGAACTATTCGGAAATCGTCAAACTGTTGTTGCACTGTTGGTGATTTGATTAAAATTAATTCATATCGCTTTGACGTTGACGTTAACCAAAGATGTACATACGAACAATATTGGACGCTATTGTAAATCAAAATTGTCACGCCTTGTGTATAAAAGAAAAAATCTTGGAAAAGGAATTTGTATTGAAGTATGAAAAAACGGGACACTTGCCCGCTTACGGTTCCCGCACGGACTACTCCAACATGCAGATGTTACTTATGGGCGCCATGGAACCTGGGAGACATTATAAATCCTTATATGTTCATGTATATAGCCGGCCAATCCCATTGGCTTCCGATCGCTACTACTAAGGGCCTATGTATGCTAAAGAAATTACATTGGTAAATAATTGCATCAGTAAATTTTATTCTTCAGTAGAAATTGAATATTGATCATATTCGTGTTGGCAACGTACGGTCAGAGGTTCGAATCCCACCTTTGGGCAGCGTACTTTTATTTTCGTTTGTCATTCACTGCCCAGGGGTTAAGGAACATGATAAAATGAAAATGTTCTATGTTCACTTACTTACCTACTATGATTTTCGGTCATATTTGTCCATATGACAAATTGAATATAATGACTAATGACCAGGGTAGGCCTAACGTGAAGCGTTTAACGTGAAACATTTATTTGAAAGTGATATACAAGCCTAGGGTGTATATATA